ATGCGAGGCAGGTCCAAGTCTCCTACCGGCTTAAGCCAATGCACCCAACCTAGTCAGGTCAGGTCACATTGACTTAAGGGAGGAACACGGCAACCGACCTGTTAGCACAAGCTATCAGGTCTAACTCACACCCACCCACATCTACTCATGTATTTATCCAACCTATTTTTAAAGCTACACAACGTTCTGGCCTCTATAACGGTACTTGGGAGTTTGTTCCACTCATCCACAACTCTATTACCAAACCAGTACTTTCCTATATCCTTCCTGAATCTGAATTTTTCCAACTTAAAACCATTGCTGCGAGTCCTGTCTAGGCTAGATATTTTCAGCACACTATTTACATCCCCTTTATTTATTCCTGTCTTCCATTTATACACCTCAATCATATCCCCCCTAATTCTACGTCTTTCTAGAGAGTGCAGTTTCAGGGCCCTTAGTCTATCCTCATAGGGAAGGTTTCTGATACATGGGATCATCTTTGTCATCCTCCTTTGTACATTTTCCAGAGAATTTATATCCATTCTGTAATACGGTGACCAAAACTGTGCAGCATAATCTAAATGAGGCCTAACCAAGGATGTATAGAGTTGAAGAACAACCTGAGGACTCCTATTATTTATGCTTCTTGATATGAAGCCAAGGATTCTATTAGCTTTATTGCGAACACTTATGCACTGTTGTCTTGGTTCAGATTACTGCTAACCAGAACTCCTAAATCTTTTTCGCAATCCGTAATATTAAGATCTACATTATTTAGTTTATATGTGGCATGGTTATTGTCCTGTCCAACATTTAGAACTTTGCATTTGTCTATATTAAACTGCATCTGCCACTTCTCCGACCACTGCATCAGTCTATTCAAATCTTCCTGGAGTGCTCGAATGTCCTCGTCAGAATGAATTCGACGGCCTATTTTGGTGTCATCGGCAAACTTGCCGATGTCGCTCTTTATGCCCTCATCTATGTCGTTTATGTAGATTGTGAACAGCAGGGGGCCCAACACTGACCCCTGTGGAACACCGCTCATGACGCTTCCCCACTCTGATTTTCCTCCCCATTTATGCAAACTCTCTGCTGCCTATTTGTCAACCATGCCTCTATCCAGGAAAAAATTTCTCCTCCTATTCCATGTGCTTTAATTTTCCTCAATAGTCTCTGATGTGGGACCCTGTCAAAAGCCTTACTGAAGTCCATATACACAATATCATATTCATTACCATGATCTACCTCCTCAAATACCTTAGTGAAAAAAGTTAATAAATTCGTAAGGCAGGAACGCCCCTTTGTAAAACCATGCTGAGATTCGTTGATTAATTTATGCTTTTAAAGATGGCTACGAACTGCCTCGGCAATTATTGATTCCAAAAATTTTTTCCCACTATGGAGGTTAGGCTTATTGGTCTATAGTTCGAAGCTAAGGACCTGTCACCTGTTTTGAAAATAGGTATCACATTTGCCATTTTCCACTTATCTGGCACCATGCCAGTTTGTAGTGATATGTTGAAAAGATTAGCCAAAGGTGTGCTAAGCTCCTCTTTACATTCCTTTAGAACCCTTGCATACAGTTCATCAGGGCCTGGGGATTTGTTAGGTTTTAATTTATCTATTTGCCTAAGGACCATGTCACTTGTGACCCTAATAGTGCACAGTTTATTATCGTCCTGTTCTACTTTAATTTATCATTACTGAAATATCGCTGGTATCCTCCTGTGTAAAAACTGAGAGGAAGTATGTGTTAAAAATTCTACACATTTCCTTATCACTGTCAGTGAGCTGACCCGAGGAACTTTTGAGTGGGCCTATCTTGTCCCTGATCTTACTTCTGTATACCTGAAAGAATCCTTTTGGGTTAGTCTTCGATTCTTTTGCAACTTTAACCTCATAATCTCTTTTTGTTTTTCTAATTCCCTTTTTTATTTCTCTCTTTAACTGAATATATCGATTTCTTAATTGCGCCTCTCCTCTTTTGATTTGCCTATACAGTGGACCCCCGCATAGCGAACGCCTTGCATAGCGAACAATCCGCATAGCGAACGCTTTGTTCGCCAAAATTTTGCCCCGCATAGTGGACAAAAACCCGCTCAGCGACCTTCGTCCGAGACGCGTCCATTGTTTACCAGCCAGCCTCCGCGGTAACATTCAAGCATACACTCGGAATATTTCGTATTATTACAGTGTTTTCGGTGCTGTTTCTGGAAAATAAGTGACCATGGGCCCCAAGAAAGCTTCTAGTGCCAACCCTGTGGTAAAAAGGGTGAGAATTAGTATGGAAATAAGAAAGATTTTGAAGGGTTTGGGGCTAACCCTGAGAAGCCTATGCCCGTTGTGGAATCCATTGTGCCTACTTCAAAAATTAAGGAAATGTGTGCACAGTGGGTTGAACTGCAAACCTTTATGGATGAAAATCACCCTGACACAGCTGTTGCAAGCCGTGCTGGTGACTATTTCAATGACAATGTTATGGCCCATTTTAGACAAATCGTAAAGGAACGGGAGGTACAGAGCTCTATGGACAGATTTGTTGTGCGACAGAGGTCCAGTGACTCTGAAGCTGGTCCTAGTGGCATTAAAAGAAGAAGGGAAGTAACCCCGGAAAAGGACTTGCTACCTCAAGTCCTAATGGAAGGGGATTCCCCTTCTAAACACTAACACTCTCTCTCCCCTCCTCCCATCCCATCAATCATCACCAGATCTTCAATAAAAGTAAGTGTCATGTAATTGTGCATGCCTTTTTCAGTTTGTGTGTACTAAAATTAACATTTTTTTGTGGTAAAAAAAATTTTTTTTCATACTTTTGGGTGTCTTGCACGGATTAATTTTATTTCCATTATTTCTTATGGGGAAAATTAATTCACATAGCGAACATTTCGCATAACGACCAGCCCTCTTGCACGGATTAAGTTCGCTATGCGGGGGTCCACTGTATATGCCTCTCTTTTGACCAATCAGATATTTTAATCTATTGTTCATCCATTTAGGATCATTTTTGTTTGATCTGATTTCCCTATTTGGAACATAATTTGACTGAGCAGCTAGAACTATGCCCTGGAAAGCATCATATCGGCAACCATCACCACCTACCTGACCCTTAGTCAGGTCATTCCAGTTCAGCCCACCTAAGTAATTTTTCAGTCCTATGAAATCAGCCAAGCGAAAGTCAGGGACGGAGACTTGATTGCCATTATTAGGGGAATTCCATGATATATTAAAACTGAGTGATTTGTGATCACTCTCCCCAAGCTCATCATTAACCTCAAGATTATTAATTAGTGTTTCCCTACTGGCAAGAACCAAGTCAAGGGGTTATTTCCCTAGTTGGCTCTGTCACAAACTGTTTTAAAAAACAATCCTGGATCGTATCAAGAAAGTCACCCGACTCTAAATTTCCTGTCAAATTGCTCCAGTCACTCTGTCTATAGTTGAAATCTCCCATTAGCACAAACATTTTCGTATGTAGATGCCTTACGAATTTCGTCCCATAGAAGTTTACTGCACTCCCTATCAAGATTTGGGGCCCTGTAAATCACACCCAAAATTAGTTTTTCTCGGCCCTCGAGAAGCTGTAACCAAACAGATTCAGTGGCTGACGCTTCTAATTTAATATCTTGTCTACCACAACAATTTAAATTGTCTCTGACATACATCGCTACTCCACACCTTTCCTGTTGACCCTGTCAGTGTGGAATAATTTATAGCCTTGTATGTGACATTCAGAGGGCATCTCTCTATCTTTCAGATTGAGCCAGGTCTCTGTTATAGCAATAATATCTATGTTTCCTGCACTTGCAATTAATCTTAGCTCATCTATCTTATTTCTAACACTCCTGCTATTAGTATAGTAACCTTAAGGGAGCTAGTCCCTTGCTGCCCTTGCTGTCCCCCTTTGTTTGCTGACCTGTTCTATTGTCTTTATTTATAACTTCATGCTGAATGCCTTTTTTACATTTACTGTTTCCAACCCTAGTGTTGCAACCTGCTTGTTTCCCACACACACCCATACCTCTATCTTCCATCAGTTTAAAATCATAGGCATTTCACCAATGGCCTTCTCAATCGAGTCTGCAAGTGCTACCACCCCTGCCCCAGAGAGATGTACCCCATCCCTTGCATACATATCATGTTTGCCATAAAAGTTGTTCCAGTTGTCAGTGAATGGGATTGCAAGTTCCTTGCAGTATCTGTCTAGCCAGCAATTTACACCAATTGCCCTAGACAACCATTCATTTCCTACTCCCCTTCTAGGCAAGATGCTACATATGATTGGGATCCCTCCCTTAGACTTAATGAAATCTATAGCTGGAGCAGTTATGGCTGCCTCCACTCGCCATATTATGGCCTATTTTATTCATTCCAGAGTATATATCATGTTTCTATGTTATTTATATTGTTTCTTGTGTCATATTAGATTAATTGTGATAGATAAATAAGCCGTAGAGTTGATATTAGCATTATATTGAAGTGTATTTTTCCAGCCTCTGAGAGCAGGAATTCCACCGGAACGGATTAATGACTTTTCAATTAATTTAAATGAGGAAAATTAACTCAGCATACGAACAAATCAGGATACAAACAAGGTCACGGAACGGATTAAGTTTGCAAGCAGAGGCTCTACTGTACTTACTTTTTATGTTTTATCTGATTTTATAGTTATTTATATGGTCAGTGATTTATATATTAATACTGTTGAGGCTGTTCTACTTTTTAAGAGTTATTATTATTATATTTAGGGGGAAGTGCTAAATCCATAGAGGTCATACAGCACCTAGGGAGTGGGAGGTAATCATGTTTGATCCAAGGAAGGAACAGGTCTGATTCCTTTAATCAGAAGCCCCTCACCGGCATCAATAAACCTCCCTTGAGATTTAAAAGTAGAATGTTAAGTAATTAACTTGTCAGCATGAGAAGCACAAACTTTGTAAAAGAGCTATTTTTTGAGAACAATGCAGATCCAACATTTTTTGTACTACTAACTAGATGGTTTATTTTTTAGCACAGAATAATTCTTTACTTTTTAGTACTGAATCCACTTATATATGACATCTGGACTGGTGTATAAACTACACAATGTTCATATTGATCCTTGTTTAAACAAACGTTTTCTTTGAGCATTTTATCATGCATAGTATTTTGTATCCTGTCATGCCGTGTGACACAAATGAGAAAGAAAATAACTGCCTAATACACGTGTCCTCGTTTTATGCAGTGGATATGTTCCAGGCCCATGGGAGCTGTTATGAGATCAATCAGGCCATCAACACTGAATTCCATATCAAAAGAATCCTTAATATATTCTGAAAACTGCACCAATTACATATGGTGAATGTACATCAAAATTACATTATTACCAATAGCAAATACCCATAAAGCAAGCCCTTATAAAATAAGGGAAAAACATGTATATCATTGTATTCTGTAAAATTTTGTACACTTGAGAGTTGAGGCCATGCTGGTTTCTAAAAATTTTGAAAATTCAAGTTTTTAAATAAAGTCATGCTTGAAAACTTGATAAATATACCAGTTTCTTAAGCTTTCATTTAAAGCAATTACAATGTGCTAGATAAAATTAGTTTTACTACCAGTTTAAATGTGAAAGTGCCAGATTTTAAAGTGTAAAATGATTTTACAGAGTGTACCACACACAATCTTTACTGAACCAAAAAATCTGACCTACCACTGAGTCCTTCTTCAGCAGACTTAGTAATATGACAAAATATGAAGTACTTTAATATTTTACTTTCTCCATAAGGGTTTGTACTATGAACTAAAAATGCTTAATGGAAGACGTACCAATCATCCTGTTAAAGACCAACTTGAGCTCACAGTGCTTTATGCCAACAAGGGAGGCTGCAAAAAGAGTTCTGTCATCATCACTCAGAAATTTCACAGTTGTCCTTCCAAAAGTAGTCAAAATTGCTGCAAAAATGAAGAAATGAATGGTATTGCCATTGAAGAACATTAGTCATGAACACTTTATGCATTTCTTCTAGTTCAGCAATAAAAATTTCTGACAAAGCTGTTGTCTCTCATTTGTCAACTGACCTTTCTGTAACATTCTGTCATTTCTGTACAATTATATTACTTGTGCTATTGTTATTATATTCATACTGAGCTGCTAAATGCATAGGGGTCATGCAGTACCTGGGAAATGGGAGGCATTCAAATTTGATCCAAGGTAAGAGTAGCTCCAATTAAGTGAATCAAGACCCCCTCTTCCTCCATAAAGGGTTGTGTGGATTAAAGCTCTGTATCACTCATCCCTTTAAGGGAGGTTCCTTGATGCTAGTGAGGAGCTCTTGATCCAAAGAATGGGACTTGTTCTCCCTTTCCTTGGATCATACCTCATTAACTTCCATTCCCCAAGTGCTATATGACCTCTATGGGTTTAGTGCTTACCCACAAATATAATAACTCAATCCTCATTATCAAAAGACAGGTTGTTGCTACTGTAATTTGTAACAAATTCTTCAAATTCTTCACTGGCAGTTTAACCAAGGCTGAAAGAAAATGCTGACAAGATTACTATAAAACTTTAAAGACAAAAGCATGTTTAACAGCAACAAATAAAAATGTTGTGCTTCAAATTAACCTTTAACATAAAAAAAAATACAAAGAAAGTGTTTAATAAGATTGACAAAATATACCTCAGATGTTTGAAGATATTAAGTACAACTAATAGTAATGATTTACCCTTAAATATAACGCTAGACATGAATATACTGTCAAACACAGATACTGCCATATATATATCTCCAAGCTTCAGATAATGAATTATTTTGAATTTCTGTTAGAGTGCCATGTGACAAAACTGACTGAATATGTAAATGACATCATTAAGCTTTTTGATGAAGATGAAGTATGAATATCAATATTTATTTATTTTTATTGGTTCATTTAACAAATAAAATAGGAAGTAGTAAAAATATTTGACTTACCGTTTTAAATGTAGTTCAACAGAATTCTCCTTGATTTTCAAAATTATAAGTAACTTTACTGTAAATTCCTGGAGATTTTGCAATAATTCTTTTATAACTGATGGAAAGGCAAAGCTTTACAATCTTTCTTAGCCTTAAGAATTTGTGTAGTAGATGGGAGGTAATTAGGTTTGATCTGAGGAAAGGAAGAGCAGTTCCAAATCCTTGGATCAATACAACCAGCTTCAATATGAAATGTTTTACTAACCTGGAGGTGAAGTGGCAGTGTTCTGGTAAACATGCTAAGTTTTCTTTGACCTCTTCCAGCTCTGACAAAGATGTTATAAACAAGGTAAGCCAAGAAATGCATACAGCAGGCATGTGTGAACATGTTAGATAGGGGGTGAGTGGAGAAGAATGGTTTTTTGGACTTGACGAGCTGTTGGAGTGTCAGCAGGCTAATATTTTGTGAAAGGATTCAGGGAAACTGGTTAGTTGGATTTGAGTCCTGAAGGTGGGAAGTGCAGTACCTGCACCCCATTATAATAAACCAAGCGCTAAACTCACCAGGGTCATACAGCACTACACCTGCACTCTAAAGCAGGGGTTTGCGATATCTGCTGTCTAGAGTGACATCTAAGCTGTCATACCTGTGAGCCTCTGGCTAGACACTGATAGTGTGAATGATGGTGAGTTTCTTTTTTTTTTACGGGGAGGGGGATCCTGCCTCAGTGGGAGACGAACAGCATGTTAAAAAAAAAATGAATAAAAGATACATGAATGCAACATTACATAACTTGACTATGGAAGCATTTTGCTCACCAGGAACTGTATCTAGTGGACCAGTAAAGCCCCTAGTGGGTAAAATTTTTAACCCTTAAACTGTCCAAACACAGATCTACGTTTACGTGCGTAGCGCTCTGACCTTGATTTTCCTCATTTGAAAGCACGCAAAAAAAAAAAAAGATCTACATTTGGAATGCTATGCGAGCGAACATAGATCTACGTTTGGACATTTTAGGGGTTAAAGATAAAGTTACTAGCATTGCCAGCACTTTAACAGCAGTTAATGAACTTACTGCTCCTATGTTAAATATCTTGTCTTGGTTATATAAAATCCATTGTAAACTCACTGTATATTTACAAATCAATAAATTCACAAAATTTACAAATCAATAAATACCTTTAAAATAGTCATTTTCTTGAGTCAAAAAAGTTTATATACATTATATACCAATGTGCACTGTACACTATAACCAACAGTAAACTGGGAATACTTTTAAATTTTAAAGCTCTTTTAAGCTTTAATAATTATTAGTGATAATGCTGGAAATTCTAAAAGACAGCTGAGTGATTATCATTAATTTTATATTTAGGAGAAGTAACGAACCCACAGTTACTGAATGAATGATGGTGAATGCACTTCCTTTTAATAAGTCACCCACCCTGTTGGGAAAGGACAAGTAAGCCAAATAAATTAAAATTCCTCATAGTGCAGTATTTTGTTTTTCAGTGTTAAATATAAATGCAAAAAAAGTACTCTCTATGTAATTATACAATCTTCATCTAGTTATGAAGACCTTCCCCTAATCCTGCAAGCTAAAAGTAAAATTATATAACGTTTTGTCATACCTTAGTATGCAACTTCATCATCTTCAGTGTCATCATCACTACCAAACACTTCCTCACACTCACCCACACCACCAAACGTCTCAGTTAAGTTGGGTGCTGTTGCCCAGAATCTTCTCGAAGCTGCTTGTGCCTCGGCTGCAACCTCTGCTTGGAAGCCAATATTTAGACCTGCAGAAAACAGCTGCATGCGCTCATCTAAGGTTTCTGTTTGTCGAGTAGGAGCACCGATGGTACTCCAGTCTATCTGGGAAGAACTATCATCTATCTCTTCATTATGGACAAACTCTTCATCCTTTATTACATTAGGAGTTGGAATGTTCATTTCCCATACAGATTCAGTGCTAAATTCAGTCTCAAGAGCAACAGCCACGCCTTTATGTACTGCATCACCAGTAGCAATATCACAGGTCACAGCCTGAGAATCTCTCCCTACATTACCAGTCTCTCCCTCAGGAAGACCTGCACTACTTACTTCATTATAGTGTTTTATACTTCTGTCTTCCTGCTCAAACAGATTGTGCTTATTCACTGTATTTTTGTGAGACGCAGGCAGGCAGAAAATGTGCTTTTTGTCTTCTTGGTACTTATTATTCTCATTATTTTCTAGCTTGACATCTACAAATGCTGTCACATCTAAATGACTTTCAAAAGGTTTTAAACATGTAACAGAGAATACGGTTCTTCTTTCTTCTTCTTCATCCTCTTTTTTTTGTCTATTCTCATCCTCATCTAACTCCTGCTCTAGCTTTCTATAGAGTTTCAATCTCTCTCTATTGCTATCTACTTCCTCTCCGTTTTCTAGCTCAGATTCACACCCTCTTATAAGTTTTAGCTCAGAAGATTCTATACAGCTATCTGTAACAATACTCTTGCACATTATTCTTTCTTTTGTTTCTTCTTCTTCTCTCTTCACTTGTTGAAGAGCCTCAGGTATATCATCACTTCTATCATCAAAATTCTCTGGATGCTGGCATTTAGTTTGCTGTTCAGTCTTTGAGTTGTCTACATCAACAACCTGGAAAAATTTAAAAGTTGTAGCTTGGAAAGTACATTTTTTTTTTTTTTCAACAAGTCGGCCATCTCCCACTGAGGCAGGGTGACCCAAAAAAGAAAGAAAATCCCCAAAAAGAAAATACTTTCATCATTATTCAACACTTTCACCACACTCACACATTATCACTGTTTTTGCAGAGGTGCTCAGAATACAACAGTTTAGAAGCATACACATATAAAGATACTGTACACAACATATCCCTCCAAACTGCCAATATCCCAAACCCCTCCTTTAAAGTGCTGGCATTGTACTTCCCATTTCCAGGACTCAACTCCGGCTATATGAAAATAATCGGTTTCCCTGAATCCTTTCACTAAATATTACCCTGCTCACACCCCAACAGATCATCAGGTCCCAAGTACCGTTTGTCTCCATTCACTCCTATCTAACACGCTCACGCACACTTGCTGGAAGTCCAAGCCCTTTGCCCACAAAACCTCCTTTACCCCCTCTCTCCAACCCTTTCGAGGACGACCCCTACCCCGCCTTCCTTCCCCTATAGATTTAAATGCTTTCCATGTCATTCTACTTTGATCCATTCTCTCTAAATGACCAAACCACCTCAACAACCCCTCTTCTGCCCTCTGACTAATACTTTATTAAAATCCACACCCCTTTTTCCCAATTTCCACACTCCGAAATTTTTTGCATAAAATTTTCACCACACAGTGCCCTTACACAGGACATCTCCACTGCCTCCAAACCCTTCCTCGCTGCTGCATTTACCACCCAAGCTTCAGACCCATATAAGAGTGTTGGTACTACTATACTTTCATACATTCCCTTCTTTTCCTCCTAGATAACGTTTTTTGACTCCACATATACCTCAATGCACCACTCACCTTTTTTTCCCTCATCAATTCTATGATTAACCTCATCCTTCATAAATCCATCCGCCAACAAAGTCAACTCCCAAGTATCTGAAAACATTCACTTCTTCCATACTCCTCCTCCCCAATTTGATATCCAATTTTTCTTCATCTAAATCATTTGATACCCTCATCACCTTACTCTTTTCTATGTTCACTTTCAACTTTTTACCTTTACACACATTCCCAAACTCATCCACTAACCTTTGCAATTTTTCTTTAGAATCTCCCATAAGCACAGTATCATCAGCAAAAAGTAACTGTGTCAATTCCCATTTTGAATTTGATTCCCCAAAATTTAATCCCACCCCTCTCCCGAACACCCTAGCATTTACTTCCTTTACAACCCCATCTATAAATATATTAAACAACCATGGTGACATTACACATCCCTGTCTAAGACCTACTTTTACCGGGAAGTAGTCTCCCTCTTCTACACACCCTAACCTGAGCCTCACTATCCTCATAAAAACTCTTTACAGCATTTAATAACTTACCACCTATTCCATATACGTACTTGCAACATCTGCCACATTGCTCCTCTATCCACTCTATCATATGCCTTTTCTAAATCCATAAATGCAATAAAAACTTCCCTACCTTTATCTAAATACTGTTCACAATTTGCTTCAATGTAAACACTTGATCTACACATCCCCTACCCACTCTGAAACCTCCTTGCTCATCCGCAATCCTACATTCTGTCTCACCTCTAATTCTTTCAATTATAACCCTACCGTACACTTTTCCTGGTATACTCAGTAAACTTATTCCTCTATAATTTTTACAGTCTCTTTTGTCCCCTTTCCCTTTATATAAAGGGACTATACATGCTCTCCGCCAATCCCTAGGTACCTTCCCCTCTTCATACATTTATTAAACAAAAGTACCAACCACTCCAACACTATATCCCCCCCTGCTTTTAACATTTCTGTCATGATCCCATCAGTTCCAGCTGCTTTACCCCTTTTCATTCTACATAATGCCTCACGTACCTCCCCCACACTTACATTCTGCTCTTCTTCACTCCTAAAAGATGGTATACCTCCCTGACCAGTGCATGAAATTACTGCCTCACTTTCTTCCTTAACATTTAAAAGTTCCTCAAAATATTCTCGCCATCTACCAAATACATGTACCTCCATCTCCCCATCTACTAACTCCCCTACTCTGTTTTTAACTGACAAATCCATACTTTCCCTAGGCTTTCTTAACTTGTTTAACTCACTCCAAAGTTTTTTCTTATTTTCATTAAAATTTCTTGACAGTGCCTCTCCCACTGCTCTCTTTTTGCACTCTCTCACCACTCTCTTTACCTTTCTTTTACTCTCCATATACTCTGCTCTTCTTATAACACTTCTGCTTTGTAAAAACCTCTCATAAGCTACCTTTTTCTCTTATCACACCCTTTACTTCATCATTCCACCAATCACTCCTCTTTCCTCCTGCCCCCACCCTCCTATAACCACAAACTTCTGCCCCACATTCTAATACTGCATTTTTAAAACTATTCCAATCGTCTTCAACCCCCCCACTACTCATCTTTGCACTAGCCCACCTTTCTGCCAATAGTCGCTTATATCTCACCCGAACTCCTCCTCCCTTAGTTTATACACTTTCACCTCCTCTTACTTGTTGTTGCCACCTTCCTCTTTCCCATCTACCTCTTACTCTAACTGTAGCTACAACTAAATAATGATCCGATATATCAGTTGCCCCTCTATAAACATGTACATCCTGGAGCCTACCCATCAACCTTTTATCCACCAATACATAATCTAATAAACTACTTTCATTACGTGCTACATCATACCTTGTATATTTATTTATCCTCTTTTTCATAAAATATGTATTACTTATTACCAAATCTCTTTCTACACATAGCTCAATTAAAGACTCCCCATCTACATTTACCCCTGGCACCCCAAATTTACCTACTACTCCCTCCATAACATTTTTACCCACTTTAGCATTGAAATCCCCAACCACCATTACTCTCACACTTGATTCAAAACTCCCCACGCATTCACTCAACATTTCCCAAAATCTCTCTCTCTCCTCTACACTTCTCTCTTCTCCAGGTGCATACACACTTATTATAACCCACTTTTCACATCCAATATTTATTTTACTCCACATAATCCTTGAATTAATACATTTATAGTCCCCTCTTTTCCTGCCATAGCTTATCCTTCAACATTATTGCTACTCCTTCTTTAGCTCTAACTCTATTTGAAACCCCTGACCTAATCCCATTTATTCCTCTCCATTGAAACTCTCCCACCCCCTTCAGCTTTGTTTCACTTAAAGCCAGGACATCCAGCTTCTTCTCATTCATAACATCCACAATCATCTCTTTCTTATCATTTGCACAACATCCATGCACATTCAGACTTCCCACTTTGACAATTTTCTTCTTCTTATTCTTTTTTAGTAATCTTTACAGGAAAAGGGGTTACTAGCCCATTGTTCCCGGCATTTTAGTTGACTTTTACAACACGCATGGCTTACAGAGGAAAGATTCTTATTCCACTTCCCTATGGATATAAAAGGAAAAGTAATAAGACCAAGAACTATTAAGATAAAATCAAAGAAAACTCAGATGAGTGTGTATAAATAAATGTGTACACGTATGTGTAGTGTGACCTAAGTGTAAGTAGAAGTAGCAAGACATACCTGTAATCTTGCATATTTATGAGACAGAAAGTACATATCAATACAAATTTAAATTTCACCCTACAATAAGGTGAATGCAAAATATGAGTGAGATGCTATATGGGTTGGCAAAGCTAGCCCAACTCTATTCCTACTTTCTCATGTGCATAAGGTATCAGAGCTTAAAAAATATGTTAGTAAAGTTAAGAATGAAATCAAGGATCATACAAATACTTATGATACAGCAACCAATGCAAATGTTCAATCTGTCAGACACTGCAACACAAGGGTATCTTGGTACAGACCTGCAATCAACTTCGACAACTTCCACTAGTAAGAGCGGCTGGATTTGAGAGGGACCTGACCTCTCAGCATCTGAGTTCTTACCTCTCCTAGTGGCCTACGTCTCACCTCTTGACGCTATAAAAAGCTCCATCCTGTCACTTCATCTCCATATTGTTTCACACTATGAAACAATGCTCTTCTCCAGACTGAGGGACTGACCACCTCAAAACTTTAAGGGTGATGGACTGATTACATCGTCTTCAAGTATCTTCTGCTTCTATCAACTTTTCTGTACTTGACTGAAGAAGCCTACTGTGTAGGCGAAACGTTTCATAATAAAGATACCTAACTGTTGCATATGTGTCTTACCTAACAACCTGTCGGTATTTTATACCATTTTAATGTTCAATCATTGATATATATTATAAACAACAACGGGCCGAAGACTGATCCCTGTGGAACGCCACTTGTTACTGATCCCCACTCGGATTTAACCCCATTTATGGACACTCTCTGCTTCCTGTCTGTCAGCCATGACTCGATCCACGAGAGCACCCTTCCCCCAATGCCGTGAGCTGCTGCTTTCTTCAACAGTCTTTGGTGCGGAACTCTATCAAATGCCTTACTAAAATCTAAGTAAATAATATCAAATTCTTTATCGTGGTCAACAGCCTCAAAAGCTTTACTTCAGGGGTAATAATTTGCTAGACCTAGTCTTGTCAAATAAGGAAACACTCATGAATAATCTGGAGATCACTGAAGAGCTTGGCGCAAGTGATCACAAATCCATCACCTTTAGCATTAATTGGGAATGCGAGAATAATGATAATACAGTAAAAATCCCCGATTTTCGTTCTGCCGATTATAATGGACTTAGAGAACATCTGTCTAATCTTGATTGGGGTTATCTAGCTAATGATTTTATTGACGATAATCATACTTATGAATATGAAGGGATCTGCTTTTATGATTGCTTTCTTAATAATGTACACAGTGCCCAGAGTATATACATTCCCCAGAGAGAAATTAGGTCTAATAATAACGATCCCAAATGGGTTAACAGGAGGCTAAAGCATCTATTAGGGGAGAAAAGGGGAATTTATAGGCGCATCAGAAGAGGAGAGGTTAACCTTACTGACCAATATGTTCAGCTTAAAAGAGAAGTAAAAGGCGATTAGAAAGGCTAAACGTGACTATGAAATTAGAGTTGCTAATGAATCAAAGACTAATCCAAAGGGGTTCTTTCAAGTGTATAGGACGAAGGTGAAGGAAAAAGTAGGACCTCTGAAATCTGGGAATGGACAGCTGACGGATAATGACCTGGAAATGTGTTCCTTATTTAATGACTATTTTTTGTCAGTTTTTACACAGGAAGATGTAAATGAGATTCCAGTAATTAACAATTATTTAGTTCCTGATGAATTTAAGTTAACTAATATTACTGTCACGAGGGACAGGTTATTAAACAGATAGACAAACTGAAACAAAATAAGTCCCCGGGACCCGATGAGTTGTTTTCAAGGGTACTTAAGGAATGCAAGATGGAGCTTAGTCAGCCATTAACGAGTGTATTCAATGCGTCCATCCTTACCAGTGTTGTGCCAGAGATGTGGAAGATGGCTAATGTGGTTCCTATATTCAAATCAGGGGATAAGTCCACTCCTTCAAATTACCGTCAATAAGCCTGACATCTATAGTGGGCAAGTTATTAGAATCAATTATAGCTGACATTATCAGAAGTCACCTTGAAGAGCATAACTTGATAAATGAATCTCAGCATGGATTCACGAGAGTCGTTCCTGCCTGACAAACTTACTGACGTTCTTCAATAGAACATTTGAGGCAGTTGACAGTGATAAGGAATATGATATTGTTTATTTGGATTTTAGTAAAGCCTTCGACAGAGTACCTCACAAGAGACTTAAGAAAAGTGGCAGCTCATGGTATAGGAGGTAAAGTTCTAGCATGGATTGAGGCATGGCTTACCAATAGAAAGCAGAGAGTTACCATTAATGGAGTGAAATCTGAATGGGGATTAGTCACTAGTGGCGTTCCACAAGGATCAGTTTTAGGCCCTCTCTTGTTCATAATTTACATTAATGACCTTGATGAAGGGATTACTAGTGACATGAGTAAGTTTGCTGATGATACAAAGATAGGCCGTATAATTCACTCTGAGGAGGATATCAATGAACTCCAGGACGATCTGAACAAATTAATGTCTTGGTCTGAGAAATGGCAGATGAAGTTTAATGTGGATAAGTATAAGGTACTTGCCCTTGGTAATGAAAATAACCCTCGAAGCTATAATCTAGGTGAAGTAGAGCTTGGTCATTCAGAATGTGAAAAAGACTTGGGAGTCATGGTAAGCAGAAATCTAAAGCCAAGACAGCAGTGCCTCAGTGTGCGCAACAAGGCCAACAGATTACTTGGATTTATCTCAAGAAGTATAAGTAACAGAAGTCCAAAAGTTATTTTACAGCTCTATACATCACTAGTGAGGCCTCATTTAGATTATGCTGCTCAGTTTTGGTCCCCTTACTACAGGATGGACATAGACTCATTAGAGAACATACAGAGAAGAATGACTAAAATGATTTACTGTGTAAGGAACCTCCCGTATGAAGATAGACTTAAAGCCTTAAATCTCCACTCTCTGGAGAGGTGTAGAATGAGGGGAGATATCATTGAAGTGTATAAGTGGATGATGGGCATAAACAAGGGAGACATTAATAAAGTACTGAGGGGTGTCAAACCAGGTAAGAACCAGGAATAATGGATTTAAGTTGGATAAATTTAGATTTAGAAAGGACATAGGTAAGTACTGGTTTTCTAACAGAGTTGTAGATGCGTGGAACAGTCTTCCCAGTGGGGTGATAGAGGTTAGGACCTTGGGTAGCTTTAAGAAGAGACTGGACAAATATATGAGTGGGAGGGGCTGGGTTTGATTGGTGTCAAGGGGTACGGGAGTTATTTCTTGAGTATCTTTAGATAGATGTCGTTTTGATAAGGACCTGCCTCGTATGGGCCAGTAGGCCTTCTGCAGTGTTCCTACATTCTTATGTTCTTATGTTCTTAAATGTGGTATACATAGTACTTAGAATACAATATACGTATACACTTTATCCTTTCATCCAAACATGATCCATCTTCGGTCAAGTAAACCCTTCCTGCATGGAAATGACACTGCACAAGATTAGACATATCTCCAAAGAAGGCAGAAAAGGATAATGTATGAGAGTATAGTGGTACAAACACTTATATGGGTGCAAATCATGGATTATGAATGTTGCAGTGAGGAGGAGGTTGGAGGCAGCGGAGATATCGTGTCTAAGGGCAATGTGTGGTGTAAATGTTATGCAGAGAATTCATAGCTTGGAGATTAGGAGGAGGTGAGTGAGAGGGTTCAGGAGGGGGTTGCTGGGGTGGTTTAGACATTTAGAAATGATGGCGCAAAATAGAATGACTTAGAGGGTGCATAAATCTGTAGTGGACAGAAGGCAGGAAAGGGATCACCCTAGGAAAAGTTGAAGGGAAGAGATAAAGGAGGCTTTGTGTGCTTGGACATCCAGCAGACGTGTGTGAGCGTCTTAGATAGAAATGAGAAGAGGCAAATGGTTTTTGAGACTTGAGCTGTTGGAATGTGAACACTAACATTTTGAGAAGGGATTCAGAGAAACAGGTCAGTCAGACTTGAGTCCTAGAGGTGGGAAGTATAATACTTGCACTGTGAAGGAAGGGTGGGGATATCTGCAGTTTGAAGGGGCATTTAAACTGCATTATCTGCACACCTCTGGCAAGACAGTGAATGATGGTGAAATGTTTCATTTTTATTTTTGGGGGGTCACCCTACCTCATTGTGAGATGGCCAGTGTGTTATAAAAAATCTTCAAAAAGAAGTGGTAATCACTTTATCACTGAGATATGGGGCTTCTAACAGGAAAGATCTGGAAACAGAACTTTTGCTCATGGCTTCATCAGCAGCACTGTCTGTGACCCAACATTTTCTTTTCCACAGCTCCAGTAATTTATGAATAAATATTTCCTTACCTCCCTCAAAGCTGGATCTTTCCTATTAAAAAGCCCTATACCACACTGGTAAAGCGCTGGACCTGCCACCACTAGGGGCCAAGGTTCGAGGCTCCTGTCTATCTTTCTGTTTATTCATTGATAGCCATTTGTTACTACTTAAACTGAGTTCATAATTAAACATGATAAAGTATTAGCATTGCTTATCATCTCTTGCAAAAATGATGTTGAAAAACTAACCTGTGCCTTCTTTGTGTGCTGTCTACTCAAAGCAGCCATCTCCCGTTGTTCCCACATCTTCCTTCGCTTTAGCAGGATTGGCTCTAACTCATTAAGTACTCTTTTTCCCTGCGCCTTTTGTTGCCTCAGCATTTGTCGTTCTTTTTTTATATCTGCTGTCCAGAAGTCATCATTATAATCTTCTTTCTGCCTGTCACTATACTCCTGATGAATGTATGCCTCAAACACTTCATCCTCTATCACAGGTTCTTCTATGCTACATATCACAGTAACAGGAATCTTTTCTTTCTGGGAAGAAATATTATCATCAGTGGTTTTGCACTGGTCTTCTAACTTTGGAATGACTTTGCTATCATTCATTCCATATTTTCTGTCAACTCTTGCTTCAGTTTCTTCTAAACATCCTTGGCACAAACTTAGCACAGTTTTTAATGCATTTAATTGTTCACTAACATACTCATATGAGGGTAACACCTCATGTTGTTTTTGTTCCAAATCTTCGGAGAAATTACTCAAAATATTTTCATTTTCAAACTTATTTTCAAGATCCTGTACTCTGAACAATGCAGACTGCATATGTAAACTCAAGCTATGTATGGCTATATACACATCCCTTTTCTTGTCTTCAAAACTTTTGGGTTTTCTTTCCTCTTGTCTGTCTTGTAGCCAAAATGATCTGGTGTACTCAAGACTGTTCTGTAGGTATTTGGTTTTACTCTTAACCTGAGCAACTTGTCTGCTGGAGAATAACTGACAGCGAACATCACAGAGTTCAGTTAACATCACTGGCTTGTGAATACACAGAAGCAGCTCTGTCAAAACAGCTGAAAGCTGAAGTTTCATGATAGCCACCCATTTCTGTTGAAAATATTAAATGAATAACTACAAAACAGAACTGTATTCAATACCATAACTTAAAAATTTATTAAATTAACTCAAGACCAGACATGCAGAGGGATTGAGTCAAGCAAAACAGAAAGTTATATTTATGTTCTCTTATGGTATGATTAACCCCTTGACTGTCGCAGCCCCCAATCCTGAGGTGTCTCCTGGTGTCGCAAAATTTCAAAAAAAAAAAAAAAAAAATTATTTTTTCTTATGAAATGATAGAGAATCTTTTTCCGATTGTAATGATACCAAAAAAACGAAATTTGGTGGAAAACTGACGGCATTACGCTCTCGCAAAGTTAGTGACCTTGGTGATATTTACAAATCGGCGATTTTGCCCACTTTGAGCCCTATTTTTGGCTAATTCCATTGTTTCAGTCGACCAAATTCATAGCTATTTCTTTAGAACTCCATTTTTTCTATCAATTGAGTACAAGAAACTGCCCATTTGCCAATTTCAACTACCCAATAACGTGGTCAGAAATTTGCAATTTGGCCAATTTCACGAAAATTAAAAAATATGACAATTTCAAAATAAGGTCCAGAATGAACAATGCAGACATTCCTGGCTCTAAAATAACATTTTCTTTTTTCATCAGTCATGTCTCCAGGCCCCTCTGATATTACTCTTGCTTTCTATTTTGAATTTTTATTCAAACAAAAAATAGAAGATTTACTATTATGCAGACTGCTGCAATACTGTAATAATTGTATAAATAACATCAACCCATTCATGACTGCATATTAGAATGGCTAGTTGGACATTTATTGGACAATGACATCATTTGTTTACTTTTGAACATCGGCAAAAATCAAACATTTCCCCTACTTTGAGTTCCATTTCCAGGTTCTTTTTATAGTAAAATCAATCAAAATTACCTCTATTTCTATATTTTCCATTCTATCAAATGAGACCAAGAAAACGAGAATACAACCATAAATAATATACAAAAATACAGTGGACCCCCGGTTCGCGATACTAATCCGTTCCTGAGAGCTCATCATAAACCAAAAATATCGGAAAGCGAATCAATTTTCCCCGTAAGAAATAATGGAAATCAAATTAATCCATGCAAGACACCCAAAAGTATGAAAAAAAAACTTTTACCACATGAAATATTAAGTTTAATGCAATAGAATAGTAATTACAATAACAATAATAACAATAAAAACAATAAATAACGAAAGAATAATTGACACTTACCTTTAATGAAGATCTGGTGATGATTGATGGGATGGGAGGAGGGGAGAGGGTGGATGGTGTTAGCATTTAGAAGGGAAATCCCCCTCCATTACAACTTGAGGTAGCAAGTCCTTTTCCGGGGTTACTTCCCTTCTTCTTTTAATGCCACTAGGACCAGCTTGAGAGTCACTGGACTTCTGTCGCACAACATAACTGGCAGCCTCACCATGCCTAATCACACTATGTATACCACTACGATTCTTAAATCTTTCAAACCAACCTTTGCTGGCCTTAAATTCACTCACATCGCCACTAGTTGCAGGCATTTTTTTTACCAAATCGTCATGCAACTGCCTAGCCTTTTCACAAATGATTGCTTGAGAGATGCTATCTCCTGCTATCTGTTTTTCATTTATCCACACCAATAACAGTCTCTCAACATTTTCTAACACTTGCGGTCGCTGTTTCATAATCACAGTTGCACCTTTTGCAAGAACAGCTTCCTTGATTGCCATTTTCTTGCTCACTATAGTAGAGATGGTTGATTGGGGTTTACTATACAACCTGACCAGCTCCGACACACGCACTCCACTTTCGTACTTTGCAATTATCTCTTTCTTCATTTCAACAGTCATTAGCACCCTTGGTCTCAAAGGGTTGGCACTGAGAGCTTTCTTGGGGCCCATGGTGACTTATTTTGCAAAAACAGGCACCAAAAACAGTGATAATATGGATAATATGGAATGTACCGAATGTATCCTTAGATGCGCGCACACTGGCTGTCTTGTAAACACTGGCACACACGGGGCAGTTCAGGCCACACATGGACACGTCTCATATGAACCACATCGCATACCGGGTTTTGTATCAGGAAGCGAGGCAAATTTTCTGCGATATAATGCATTGGTTACCGGATTTATCAGATACCGACAGCATCGCGAACAGGGGGTCCACTGTAGACCACAAAGTCGGCATTTTAATTAAAAAAAAACGGTCAGAGTTTTTTTTCTCATTATGCACTGCATGCTCCAGGATTTTTTTAATATGGTGCACACTGACCACACACACCCATTCTCTCACATGTGGGCCTACCAGCTTTCTCCTCCTTGATTTGAAGCTGCTAGAATTTATGAGTATATATACGTCAAACACGGTACCTCGTAAGACGTATATATACGACCGTGACAGTCAAAGGGTTAAATAAAAACATTGTATAGTAGCCTAAAGAGCACTGTCCAGCCAAGATATAGAAAAACTGTCAATCTGATAGTAAAAGAATGTGAATAACTTTAACTAAGACTTAAGGCATTATGATACTTGATAAATTGTCACTCTAAGAATACTTTTAACTTGTAATTTGGGCTACTTATTGTTTATATATTAGGTACAATACGCACTCATTTATTAATTACAAATAGCAAATCCACAGGATTTTTACAAAATGTAGGCACTGTGGGACACACATCAATATGGAAAATAGCTCCTTGACAATTTAACTAATTTTTTTTATTCCACCCCAAAAATTGCCCTTCCTTAGATAATTGCCATCCCCCTTTACAATAATATAAGAAATGTAAACATAAATAAAATTACCCGAGAAATATGAAGCATTACCTTCAGGAAAGTGATACATTCAGTATTGCAAGCAGTTTCGTTAAGTTCACTTGCTTCCACCTGATCAAACAGTTGCTTCATACAAGGGTACTCTGGGGTACACTCTCCAAGGTACTGATGGTTCTCACGAAGAATATGTTCCAGTAACTTTAGAACAGATATGAGAGCAGAACAAAGGTTGGAACACTGTGGAAACTCAGCATTCTCACAAAGTGTGGCAGGATACGATCCTTGTGCCCTACAGAAAATGAAATACATGTTACTATAATACAGTATCGTTAAAATAAAAAATTAATATTAACAAAACCTAGTTTGATAGTATTATGATGTAAGGAATTGAGGTGCTCACAGTCTCCTATCTCAGAGAATCTCACAAATATGAAATAACTTGAAAAACGAATGTCCCTTTTACAGCATACATATGTCTTCCCAGATGCAATTCCCTCTTCCTTGCACCTCCCTTTCTCTTAGCACTGCTGAGCACTTCTACCTACTCTATGTACATAGTCCAAAAGACTCTCTAAAATATGGCATGCATCTGTGTATTCTTATAAAAATCTACAGCAAATAGAGCTGACTCACATGGGATTAGCAATATTATTTGTGAATATAATAAAAATAGGTAGAAGGTTGGTAAACAGCAACCACCCAGGGAGGTACTACCATCCTGCCAAGTGAGTGTAAAACAAAAGCCTGTAACTGTTTTACATGATGGTAGGATTGCTGGTGTCCATTTTTCTGTCTCATAAACATGCAAGATTTCAGGTACGTCTTGCTACTTCTACTTACACTTAGGTCACACTACATATACATGTACAAGCATATATATACACACCCCTCTGAGTTTTCTAATATTTTCTTACTAGTTTTTGTTCTTGTTTATTTCCTCTTACCTCCATGGGGAAGTGGAACAGAATTCTTCCTCCGTAAGCTATGCGTCTTATAGGAGGAGGCTAAAATGCCAGGCGCAAGGGGCTAGTAACCCCTTCTCCTGTATATATTACTAAATGTAAAAGGAGAAACTTTCATTTTTCCTTTTGGACCACCCTGCCTCGGTGGGATACGGCCGGTGCGTTGAAAGAAAAGAAAAATAGGTAGTAGGCTGGTAAACAGCAACCACCCAGGGAGGTACTACCGTCCTGCCAAGTGAGTGTAAAACGAAAGCCTGTAATTGTTTTACATGATGGTAGGATTGCTGGTGTCTTTTGTCTGTCTCACAAATATGCAAGATTACAGGTATGTCATGCTACTTCTACTTACACTTAGGTCACACTACACATACAAGTACACATTTATTTATACACACTCAACTGAGTTTTCTTTGATTTTATCTTAATAGTTTTTGTTCTTATTACTTTTCTTTTTATATCCATGGGGGAAGTGGAATAAGAATCTTTCCTCCGTAAGCCATGCGTGTTGTAAAAGTCAACTAAAATGCCAGGAACAATGGGCTAGTAACCCCTTTTCCTGTAATGATTACTAAAAAGAATAAGAAGAATAAAACTGTCAAAGTAGGATGTCTGAATGTGCGGGGATGTTGTGCGAATGATAAGAAAGAGATGATTGTGGATGTTATAAATGAGAAGAAGCTGGATGTCCTGGCTTTAAGTGAAACAAAGCTGGAGGGGGTGGGAGAGTTTCAGTGGAGAGAAATAACTGTGATTGGGTTAGGGGTTTTGCAGTATTAGAATGTGGGGCAGAAGTTTGTGGTTATAGGAAGGTGGGTGCAGGAGGAAAGAGGAGTAATTGGTGGAATGATGAAGTAAAGGGTGTGATAAAAGAGAAAAAGGTAGCTTACGAGAGGTTTTTACAAAGCAAAAGTGTTATAAGAAGAGTAGGTATATGGAGAGTGAAAGAAAGGTGAAGAGAGTGGTGAAAGAGTGCAAAAGGAGAGCAGATGATAGAGTGGGAGAGACTACTTCCCAGTAAAAGTAGGTCTTAGACAGGGATGTGTAATGTCACCATGGTTGTTTAATATATTTATAGAAAGGGTTGTAAAAGAAGTAAATGCTAGAGTGTTTGGGAGAGGGGTGGGATTAAATTATGGGGAATCAAATATGAAATGGGAATTGACACAGTTACTTTTTGCTGATGATACTGTGCTTATGGGAGATTCTAAAGAAAAATTGCAAAGGTTAGTGGACGAGTTTGGGAGAGTGCGTGTAAATGTAGAAAGTTGAAAGTGAACACAGAAAAGAGTAAGGTGATGAGGGTATCAAATGATTTAGATAAAGAAAAATTGGATATCAAATTGGAGGAGGAGGAGTATGGAAGAAGTGAATGTTTTCAGATATTTGGGAGTTGACGTGTCAGCGGATGGATTTATGAAGGATGAGGTTAATCATAGAATTGATGAAGACAAAAAGGTGAGTGGTGCATTGAGGTATATGTGGAGGCAAAAAATGTTATCTATGGAGGCAAAGAAGGGAATGTATGAAAGTATAGTAGTACCAACACTCTTATATGGGTGTGAAGCTTGGGTTGTAAATGCTGCAACGAGGAGGCGGTTGGAGGCAGTGAAGATGTCCTGTCTAAGAGCAATGTGTGGTGTAAATATTATGCAGAAAATTCGGAGTGTGGAAATTAGGAGAAGGTGTGGAGTTAATAAAAGTATTAGTCAGAGGGCTGAAGAGGGTTTGTTGAGGTGGTTTGGTCATTTAGAGAGAATGGATCAAACTAGAATGACATGGAGAGCGTATAAATCTGTAGGGGAAGGAAGGCGGGGTAGGGGTCGTCCTCAAAAAGGTTGGAGGGAGGGGATAAAGGAGGTGTTGTGGGCGAGGGGTTTGGACTTCCAGCAAGCGTGCGTGAGTGTGTTAGATAGGAGTGGAGACAAATGGTATTTGGGACCTGACAATCTTTTGGAGTGTGAGCAGGGTCATATTTAGTAAAGGGATTCTGGGAAACCGGTTATTTTATATAACCGGACTTAGTAAAGGGATTCAGGGAAACCGGTTATTTTATATAACCGGACTTGAGTCCTGGAAATGGGAAGTACAATGCCTGCACTCTATAGGAGGGGTTTGGGATACTGGCAGTTTGGAGAGATATATTGTGTATTTTTATATGTATATACTTCTAAACTGTTGTATCTGGGCACCTCTGCAAAAATAGTGATTATGTATGAGTGAGGTGAAAGTGTTGAATAATGATGAAAGTATTTTCTTTTTGGGGATTTTCTTTCTTTTTGGGTCACCCTGCCTCAGTGGGAGAAGGCCGACTTGTTGAAAAAAAAAAAAAAAAATTCTCCATGGGGAAGTGGAATAGAATTCTTACTCTACAACCCATGCATGTCATAAGATGCAGCTAAATTGCTGGGAGCAAGTAACCCTTTCTGTACATATTACTAAATTTAAAAATGGAAACTTTCGTTTTTCTTTTTGGGCTACCCTGCCTCAGTGGAATACGGCTGGTTTGTTGAAAAATAAAATTATTATTAATACTGTTCTTTCTTCAATAAGCCACATGAGTCGTAAGAGGTGAGTAAAACATCAGGAGCAAGGGGCTAGTAACCCCCTTCTCCTGCATAAATTTTTCATGTCACCCTGCCACGGTGGGTGACGGCCGGTATATTGAAAAAAAAATAATAATTTTAATATTAAGAATTAAATAAAGCAACTTAAAATTAACTAAAAATTCTGAAAGCTATTCAGCCTTAATGTCTAATGAAATCATAATGACATGATTGTAAACAACTCACAGACCGGAGTGGGGTCCGAACCCATGGTGAGGCAGACCTGAAACTAGAAGGCCAGCCCAATGAGATTCATCAACTAGGTATATTTCTACACACACTAGCATAAGCAACACTGTGATCACCCATGGAACTTTTTACAGGTGAATCTCACACCAGCGCAAGCTCTAGCTCAAGTGCCTACAAAGCTGTACAGTGGACCCCCGGTTAACGATATTTTTTCACTCCAGAAGTATGTTCAGGTGCCAGTACTGACCGAATTTGTTCCCATAAGAAATATTGTGAAGTAGATTAGTCCATTTCAGACCCCCAAACATACACGTACAAACGCACTTACATAAATACACTTACATAATTGGTCGCATTCGGAGGTAATCGTTATGCGGGGGTCCACTGTATAAATGATTCACAAAATCATAATGGCATGATTGAGGAGTGGGGTTCAAACTCATGTGACTTGTTCATCATGTGTAATTATGAATTCCTAAGTCATTCATATGGCTGTGAAATGATGTGACTGCAGCTTGCCACAAACATGCTAGTACGAGATTCATCTATAAAATCATGTACGTATTTGTGATCCAAGTTGGGCCCATGCTAACTTTCTTAGTGTGAACAGAAATACACCCAGCTGAATGAATTTTATTAGCAGGCTTGGTACAGTGAATAGTGCACTGGCCTTCTAGCTTTAAGACTGGCTTGGTATGAATTCAACTTTCCCCCCTTCCTTTTGTGAGATGTTATTTATGTTCAACCTGTTTGATAACAATAAAAATGAATGATGGTGAATGTGTTTCCTTCTTTGGGTGACCCTGCCATGGCATGAGATGACCGTTGATGTAAAAACAAAAAGTACATCTATATTGAAAAGACAATTAAATGTAATTAGTCAAAAACTAGCTCTGAAACTAATGCTCACAATACAAAACCCTTGCTGATAAGATCCACCTCCTGCAGAAGTCGCAGAGATCTCGAAGCAGTGCTACTGATCTCTTTCATCAGCAATACAAATCGTTTTATATCACGCGTGAGAAGGAAATAACGAATAAATGCAGGGCTGAAAAAAAAGAAAGATTTTTTATCTGAACTTAAATAATGCACTTCTAAATACTGTACTAAATGTCAATCTATTTGTAAATACATTCCACAGACAGCACTGAATGACCATACAAGTTTAGCTTTTTATGTGAATATAGTCTGGATTAGTGCAATTTTTTAAAGTGTCCTTTGAATACCATTATTAGGACATACCACCTTTAAAACTATAGTAAATTATGCACATATATTGACATACTGTCAAAGGAATACCTGAGATAAAGCAAAATATAAACAAAGTGAATGAAAGTGAAAAGTGATATATATATATATCTGGTACTTCCTGGAAAAATTGTCTTAAAAGTAGAAAAAAATTATTACTGTACTGAATTTATAGAGAAGCACTAAACCTGTAGGAGTCATACAGCTCCTGGGGAATGAAAGGTAATTATGTTTGATTTGAGGAAGGGAAGGGTAGCTCCAACTCCTCAGGTCAAGAGCCCTACAAAAGCATCAAGACACACCCTTTCTAAACAATAACAATTGATACTCTGATAATTGTGGAGAGCATAATCTAATTAATTTTTAATAAGATGAAAAATTAGAAAATAAATAGACAAAACTCTCCACAGCAATATTCACTTGACTATACAATCTGATAAAAAAAAAAGGCTTCTTATGCTGCCATTTGTCTAATAACTTTTCAAACTCACATTAGAAAACCTATTTTAAAAAAAGGCAGCTTGTGAGAATAACTTCACAGTTCAAAATAGAAAAAACAGGTAAGAAAGGAGATTATGTAATAACGGCAAATGAAACCACAAACGCAGAAAGTAAAAACACAAACGACAAAATTCTTACTTTTCTGGACATAAAGTACAGTATATCATTACCATAATGAAAAATTTACTTACATTCCTTCCATAATCATACAAATGAGAAATGCAGAAATGATGGTACAGCTAAACCAGCTCTTGCATGATATATACAGTGGCAGCACCACACTCAGTAGAAGTGAGATGGATCTGCAAGACCAAAAAGTGAATATGGTCAACTGGTAACTCCTGAAGTTAACTTGTATCTAACCTTTACCAGACACACAAATCCATTAATTTTTCTTCAACTAATTCTCCTAAACAAAAAACTTAAAACTCTTGGATTATTTCTATTGCCATTTTGTTTAACTGTAAGACACAAAAAGTTTTATCTTGCATTTATTTTTCAATACTTTGTTACATTCATGTAATATATTCATTCAAGAGATAATGTGAAGTTGATGAATATGAGACAGAATACAACACAGGACTCATGGCTGTTGAGTCTCCACTTCTAGAATATGTAATAATAAGACTGAAAGAGTCACATTTCTGTGTTAAGAAAAAGAAGGAAAACATGCATAATAAAAAGCATAAATAATGCTGTACCTTTTACATCACACCTATTTCAACTATTGTACTCACCCAATGAATACAAAAGCCCTACAGTTGGAACCAGATGGAAGAGCAAGGGAGCCAGTATGATGAAGCTCCTCACCACCTGGCAGAAAGTGTTCAAGGACCAGCCAGTCATCATTAGTCACTAACTTGCTCTGGGCAATATACTCAGCAATATCCTTGTATCTATCATCCTGTAATGAAGTGTCATGAGTGTTATTATTAGGTAAATACTATTTGTTTTTCCTCTAACACTGTAAAATGTCATATAGATTAGGGCAACCATACGATGTGTAGTGTATTTCACGGATGATAATTTTTTAAATTTGTTTGCTTTCCAAAAAATGAATTTACATGCTCAATTCTACTATATAGCAAAATACATAATATAACAATAGCCACAATTTACTTGACACTGCCTTATAAATAAGCAATATTACTTTACATTAAAAGAAAATACATTTATTTTGGTCAATCTTACCCTCCATTTTCCAAAAAGACTTTCATGAAGACTTGCCCACATTTCTTTCAGTAAATCCAGTGCTCCCTGCAATACATGTAATGGTGTACAGTTCCCCTTTCTGGGGTTTTGAAGTGGATATGAAAAGCTAACTACTGCATATTCTGCTTCAGTAACACTACTGACTCTTCAATTTTAAGCATAAATTATTTTTTTATAATTTATTATTTTTAACAATTTTTGTTTTTGCTAGATATTTGAAGATAGTTGTCACCTTATACTGAAAAATTCAGAAATGAGAGAAAATTAACATATTTTTATGACTAACTGAAATCATTGGGGAAATGACCTTCAAATCAACACTTGTCTTTAAAGTTGCATATAATATATATACTGCATTACAAAAAAAAATACTATACAGTATATCTTTTCTATAATTACACTTACGCTTTAAATGTCGTAGTATATTATGTGTGGGTGGGGGTGGCCTGGCATGGCTACCATACCTACCACACCTGATTTCTTACAATAAATATGTATTACTCATCTCCCCCTACATTAAGACTACAAATATTTTAAGGTAAGTAATGAGTGTTCTGTATGTGTATTTTACTTTTTTTTATTGCTTTTTAATGCCTAGTTCTATTGCTAACTTAATATATATTAGTGTAAACTTGTTATCTAGTATTTATATGCATTTATAAGTGGAAAAAAGGGGCGTTCCATTTTACGGCGGCTTCTGCTTTACAGATGTAGCCTGGAACCTAACCTGCCATATAAGTGGGGTCCAACTGTACTATATTAGCAGTAGAGCAAACCTTCAGTTTGACTAATATAGAGATAGCAGTTGACTGGTAATAGTGATAGTGGTAAAAAGAAAATAATTATTTTACTGTGTTAGTAACAAAACCAGTCAATTCTTTAACCATGGATTTTGTTCCATATTTCTAAAGTCACTTAAATTAAGGGTTTTCTTCATGAACAAATTCTGAATCTGAAGCTCTCTAAAGGTTTAGCTTATCAGTTCATAATAATTTTCTGAATTGAAAGGAATTACATGAGTCAACATTTGTTTTTGACACCTCTCTTGAAAGACTAATTTTGGGGAAAATAGCATAACACATATACAGTGCTCATATTAAAGATATGAGAAGGAAAATATTGCAATAAAAGAAAGTACTGCAGTTTTGCTGAAGACCCTTGCAGTAATTAGCTGGACTACTTAATGGCAGTGTACTTTGTAAATATTTTCTTAAAAAAATATGCTTTTAATCAGTGTCAGTTGAATTATCTAAGCAAATAGGATAATTGGCCCAGTTGCTTGTCATCTATGTAGCTACAGTAATGGAAGGGTCAGAGCCAGTGGGGTTAGAGTTTTGGACAGTGGTTAACTGCTAACTGTTAACCTTCATGGTGCGCACAACAGAGATAAAACACCTCAATTACTGGGAGCGCAAGAAGTTCCTGAACCTGTATTCCCTGGAACGCAGGCGGGAGAGATACATGATTATATACACCTGGAAAATCCCAGAGGGACTAGTACCGAACTTGCACATGAAAGTCACTCACTACGAAAGCAAAAGACTCGGCAGACGATGCAACATCCCCCCAATGAAAAGCAGGGGTGTCACTAGCACGTTAAGAGACAATACAATAAGTGTCAGGGGCCCGAGACTGTTCAACTGCCTCCCAGCATACATAAGGGGGATTACCAATAGACCCCTGGCTGTCTTCAAGCAGGCACTGGACAAGCACCAAAGTCGGTACCTGACCAGCCGGGCTGTGGCTCATACGTTGGATTGCGTGCAGCCAGCAGTAACAGCCTGGTTGATCAGGCTCTGATCCACCAGGAGGCCTGGTCACAGACCGGGCCATGGGGGCGTTGACCCCCAGAACTCTCTCCAGGTAAACCATTTCTCCTGTTTACTGTTCAATAAACATTTCCTATCACTGAATGTAACATTAACTGTGTCTCATTAACATAAGCATTTTCAAGTATTAATACATTATTGTTCAAACCTTTTTATTTTTACTGAAGACAACCTCTGTTGCATTTTCCCTGTAGTGCGAAGTTTTGAGCTGAGTAGATTCAAAGTCAGTGTAGCCTGTGTCAAGTAGATGCTGGTAAATTGCACTCCCCTGAATGAAAAAAATATTAAGCAATTTTTAGCATTTATTCTTGTTGAATTATGAACATAATCACGTAAGTGAATTTATTTAATTTTATACCTTATTAACATAATTACAATATTAAATAACTATAACCCAAGTCGATAATTCAGTGATGCAATGGATATAAGTCACTATGTCTGACTTTTTTAGGTTACCCTAGGTAATTTACACTAGGTAAGATAACTGTACTTATGTGTACCTGTGTCTCAATAAACTTGCTAATTTACCAGGCCCATGGGCTGGTAGGCAACACTCTTGCTTCACACGCTGAGTGTCTGTGGTTCAATCCCGGCAAGGGTGGAAACACAGGCTGTGTTTCCTTACACCTGTTGTCCTGTTCACCTAGCAAGTGAGTTATGTACCTTAGTGTTAGTTGACTGGTGTGGGTGTCATCCTGGGGGACAAGATTGAGGACCACAATGGAAATAAGACAGACAGTTCCTCGATGACGCACTGACTTTTTTGGTGTATCCTGGGTGGCTAACCCTCTGGGGTTAAAAATCTGAATAAAATCTTATCTTAGCAAGGGAATCACAGGTATGTCAGAGGGAAGGTTGACATCATATAAGTAACACCCGCATCAGGAAATATCTGTCCTGTTTCCTGATGAATCTTTTCCATCTTATCCTGGTTGACAGCACAAAGAAGAAGCAGAAATGCTGAGAGTGAACACAAGAACAAGAAGTGACAGGAGATAAAATAAATCAATTTATTATTATTTTCAAGGGGGAAGTGCCAAACCCATACGGAATACAGCATTCAGAGGAACTGGAGCACAGATCTGATTCCCTAGATCAAGAGCCCCTCACCAGCATCAAGGAACTTCCCTTGAGAGAAGTTTAAGAAACACCAGGAGGAAGCTACATTAAAGCTTGGACTGTATCATATTACCAGCTTATTCAGCATTACAAGGAGAGAGAGAGGGAGAGAGAGGAGAGAGAGAGAGAGAGAGAGAGAGAGAGAGAGAGAGAGAGAGAGGGGAGAGAGGAGAGAGAGAGAGAGAGAAGAGAGAGAGAGAGAGAGAGAGAGAGAGAGAGACAGAGAGAGAGAGACAGAGAGAGAGAGACAGAGACGAGAGAGCAGAGAGAGAGAGACGAGAGACAGAGAGAGAGCAGAAGAAGAGAGAGAGGAAGAGAGAGAGAGACAGAGAGAGAGAGACGAGAGAGGAGACAGAGAGAGAGAGAGACAGAGAGAGAGAGAGGAAGAGAGAGAGAAGAGAGAGAGAGAGAAGAGAGAGAGAGAGAGAGAGAGAGAGAGAGAGAGAGAGAGAGAGAGAGAGAGAGAGAAGAGAGAGAGAGAGAGAGAGAGAGAGAGAGAGAAGAGAGAGAGAGAGAGGAGAGAGAGAGAGAGAGAGAGAGAGAGAGAGAGAGAGGAGAGAGAGAGAGAGAGAGAGAGAGAGAGAGAGAGAGAGAGAGAGAGAGAGAGAGAGGAGAGAAGAGAGAGAGAGAGGAGAGAGATAGAGAGAGAGAGAGAGAAGAGAAGATGAGAGAAGAGATGAGAGAAGAGGAGAACTAGAGATAGAAGAGAGAGAAGAGAACTGGAAAGAGAGAGACAAAGAATGAATATTAAGATGCAAGATGATGTAAGATGTTGCCACACCAATAATTGGCAATGTTGTGAAATATTCTTATATGTCATAAAAAATGTATTTAATGATATATCTTCGTGGCTTAAATTAAAATACGACCCTTCAAAAGTATTATATAATTTAATGAAATAAAGGTCAATAATAAGACCAGTTTGAATATATTTGCTATCTTACCTTTGCTAATAAGTATTAAAAGCGAAAACAAAAACTGAAAGATATAATTAAATATACCAGTTTAATCTATGGGAACCGAAGATAATTCTTCAAAACAGAAATACAAAATTACAATATCTGTTTACAATAATGTATTATCACTGATTTCATCATTGCTTAGTTAATTTTAAGCCAGCCCGTAATGCTATGCATAGTATAAGTGGCTTTGGCATGCTGCTCTTATCTGTATTTTTTGTACCTCTGTATGTATGCTCAAATTGTTAATAAATAAATAAATAAATGTTGTATTTACTGGGAAGCGCTAAAACCCCTGGAGCTTATACAGCGCCGGGAAAGGATTGTAATGAAGCTTGATCCAGGGAAGCGGAGGATGGCTCCAATTCTCTGGATCAGCAGCCCTTCATCAGCATCAAAAGCATAATATATTGCGTTCCATTGTATATGGCAAACCTCAAATATAACATCGTCATCCTCTTCTGTGTCAGCCATACTTCTTGTTGGGTTTGTAAGAGCTGTTGACGGCTCAGGCAGACCACCCATGCTTCTCTCTGTGTTTATTCAATTCAATTCAATTCAAACTTTATTCTCTGTAAGTATTACAATGCTGAGTTTACAGAATTTGGTTATTGTGTGGTTTACATGTAGTAAAATAATAATTACAGAGTGTACCACTAGAACGCCTAGCATGGCTAGGCATTTCGGGCAGACTTATATTAAATCTTAGGTTTAAAATGTTACAGAATTATGAGATAAGTTGGTATTATGGCTAAGTGACTAAAGACTAGTTGTGAGTTTAGCAATGTGAATGCTTTTGTTTTGGCACAGTACATAGTTTCAGTATTGGAGTATCACAGGCCAACTTATGACTAGTTAAGATTCATTATTTTGAGATTGAGATTAATATTTCTGTTTATGGTCAAATGGGTGAGTGAGTGTAAGTGTGAACCACCAGGTGGTATTAGTGTAGTTAGTTGACGGGGTGTATCAGGGAGATAAGATGTTTTCTGATGGTAGTTTTGAAGGTGATGAATGTGTCTGCAGTTTTGGAATTTTCAGGTAGGGTGTTCCAGATTTTAGGGCCTTTGACATACATTGAATTTTTGTAAAGGTTTAGTCGGACACGGGGAATGTCATAGAGATGTTTGTGTCTGGTGTTATGTTAGCACAGGCACCTCTGTGACCACAAATGCAAGTTTTTACAGACGAATCTGGAGTTTTGAGACTCTATGACCGCGGGTTCAATCCCGGCCGGGGGTATGGTTTATTTGCAATCGTGTCATTACGATTTCTTGAGTCATGTTGACGGCAGTGAAGGGACTTGAGCTAGAGTTCGTCACGGCCACGCTAGCTGGAGATTCGTCTGTAAAAACTTGCATTTCTGGTGTTATGCCTGTGGGTTCTGTCACAACTATCAAGAAAGCGTTTTAGGTCAAGGTTAATATTGGAATTTAAGGTCCTGTAGATGTAGATTGCACAGTAGTAAGTAAACAAACAAGCAAACGAGTAAGCAAGGGAAAAGTAAGCAAGCAAACAAGTAAGCAAGCAAACAAGCAAGCAACCAAGTAAGCAAGCAAGCGAAAAAGTAAGCAAGAAAACAAGTAATCAAGTAAGCAAGCACACAAGTAAGCAAGCAAATAAGCAAGCAAGCGAAAAAGTAAGCAAGCAAACAAGCAACAAACAAGTAAGCAAGCAAACCAGAAAATAAGTAAGCAAACAAGTAAGCAAGCAAGCGAAAAAGTAAGCAAGCAAACAAGTAAGCAAGCAAACAAGTAAGCAAGCAAACAAGTAAGCAAGCGAAAAAGTAAGCAAGCAAACAAGTAAGCAAGCAAACAAGTAAGCAAGCAAACAAACAAGTAAGCAAGCGAAAAAGTAAGCAAGCAAACAAGTAAGCAAGCGAAAAAGTAAGCAATCAAACAAGCAAACAAACAAGTAAGCAAGCAAACAAGAAAACAAGCAAGCAAACTAGTAAGCAAGCGAAAAAGCAAGCAAACAAGTAAGCAAGCAAACAAGTAAGCAAGCAAACAAGCAAGCGAAAAAAGTAAGCACGCAAACAAGCAAACAAACAAGTAAGCAAGCAAGCAAACAAGTAAGCAAGCAAACAAGAAAACAAGCAAACAAGTAAGCAAGCAAACAAGCAAGCGAGAAAGTAAGCAAGCAAACAAATAAGCAAGCAAACAAGTAAGCAAGCGAAAAAGTAAGCAAACAAACGAGTAAGCAAGCATGCAAGTAAACAAGCATGAAAGCAAACAAGCAAGCAAGCAAGTAATAATAATAATAATAATCTTTGTTTCTACAAGGGCATGATACAACTTGTACAGACCGTAGCTGACATCACTGACATACTATATAGAAAGCCCTTGATTATGCAGAGTTTTCGGTATTTAGGTACAGGTATACATTAGTTACACAAAATTAGGTGATTACAATCATCATACAGAGTAACATGTGTGTAAATTAACTAGGATTAGCAAAAAAAAAGTCAAACCAAGTGACTTATTTCTATTGGGTCCTTATAATATTTATTATTTAAAGCTTAGTTATATGATCCTATAAGATGTAAAAACTCAATGCGCATAAAAGTCCCTAAGATCTGGAATTCATTGCCTGAATCATCGACAGGTCCCATGTATGTCAATCTATGCAGAGCTATTGTAAAAAAAAAAGCACCTCATCTCCCTAAGGGTCCGGGTTCGATTCCCGGCGAGGGTTGAAACATTGGGCGTGTTTCCTTACACTGGTTGTCTATGTTCAACCATCAGTGTATAAAATGGGTGCCTGGGTGTTAGTCAACTGGTGTGGGTCGCATCCTGGGACAAAATTGACCTAATTTGCGGAAAATACTCTGCATAACAAGGGGCTTTCTATATAGTAGTATGTCATTGATGTCAGCTATGGTCTGTATACCTAGTACATGTACTTGTAGAAATGAAGTTATTATTATTATTATTATTATTATTATTATTATTATTATTATTATTATTATTATTATTGTAAGACATGTCAACACCAGCTCATCTAGTTCTGTCTCTGTTCTTCTTCCAGTCTTCATCCAACTCCCATAGAAAATTAATGAACAAAAAGGCACAATACCGTGATTGGAACAATACACATAACCCCAGATAGGAGAGAGAATCTTGTGACGACGTTTCTGTCCGACTTAAACCATTTGCAAGTCACAGTGGAAACATAAACACATATGCAGTTTAATGTGATCCTTTATTGACAAAGTTTCACCCACACAGTGGGCTTTTTCAAGTCACACACAGATCTACCTGGGGTGGAAGGTACGGGAGTATTTATAGTCATGTTCAGAATGTTGAGGTCAGGTGGAGAATGCTGCATCTGATGATCTACCGGGTGGGGTTATAGAGTCTTGGGTAGCTTGGCAGGGGTATTGGACAAGTTGTGAGTAGACCTTCTGCAGTGTTCTATGTTCTTATGTGGGATAGCGATGAAGAAGTTTCTTGGCGAGTGGTTCAGCTATGTTATAGAAGCCGTTGTTCTGGTTGAAATTGTTGGTTATAGAGATAAGCGATGATTCCAGGATTCTTCGGTATTGAGTGTTGTCTTCTGTGGCGATAAGTCTTGAGTTTCTGTAGTTAATTAAATGGTTGTGTGAATTGCGATGTTGTACACAGGCATTCCTTGTATCGTCAGTCCTGCTTGCATATTGGTGTTCTGAAATACGTGTTTGGAGGTCTCTTGATGTTTCGCCCACATAATTTGTTGCAGTCATTACAAGGGATTATGTGCAAGAAAGGTATAAAATACCGACAATATGAAAGTTAAGACACATGTGCAACATCTGGATATCTTTATTGTAGTAGACGTTTCGCCATCCAGTGGCTTTATCAATACAGATTCTAGGACATAATAGGAAGACAGTAGAACTATATACAAAAGATGAGGTAATCAGTCCCTCGGCCTTGGAGTTAGTGTTCACAGCATCGTGGTGGAGGAGAGTCTGGAGCAAAGGCAAGAAGACTGGCGCTTTTTATAGGCGTCAGTGAATGGGACGGGCAGCAGACGAGGGCAGTCACTGGTAGGCGGGATTCCCCAGTGGAAGTAGGTCCTTCCCAAAGAGATGGGTTAGTTGCAGCAGCCGTGAAGAAGGTCTTGTAGATGTCCTCTGAACCAAGATTCCATGATGTTGCAGTGTCTGACAAGTTGTGCAAGAAAGGTATAAAATACCGACAATATGAAAGTTAAGACACATGTGCAACATCTGGATATCTTTATTGTAGTAGACGTTTCGCCATCCAGTGGCTTTATCAATACAGATTCTAGGACATAATAGGAAGACAGTAGAACTATATACAAAAGATGAGGTAATCAGTCCCTCGGCCTTGGAGTTAGTGTTCACAGCATCGTGGTGGAGGAGAGTCTGGAGCAAAGGCAAGAAGACTGGCGCTTTTTATAGGCGTCAGTGAATGGGACGGGCAGCAGACGAGGGCAGTCACTGGTAGGCGGGATTCCCCAGTGGAAGTAGGTCCTTCCCAAAGAGATGGGTTAGTTGCAGCAGCCGTGAAGAAGGTCTTGTAGATGTCCTCTGAACCAAGATTCCATGATGTTGCAGTGTCTGACAAGTTGTGCAAGAAAGGTATAAAATACCGATAAAGCCACTGGATGGCGAAACGTCTACTACAATAAAGATATCCAGATGTTGCACATGTGTCTTAACTTTCATATTGTCGGTATTTTATACCTTTCTTGCACAACTTGTCAGACACTGCAACATCATGGAATCTTGGTTCAGAGGACATCTACAAGACCTTCTTCACGGCTGCTGCAACTAACCCATCTCTTTGGGAAGGACCTACTTCCACTGGGGAATCCCGCCTACCAGTGACTGCCCTCGTCTGCTGCCCGTCCCATTCACTGACGCCTATAAAAAGCGCCAGTCTTCTTGCCTTTGCTCCAGACTCTCCTCCACCACGATGCTGTGAACACTAACTCCAAGGCCGAGGGACTGATTACCTCATCTTTTGTATATAGTTCTACTGTCTTCCTATTATGTCCTAGAATCTGTATTGATAAAGCCACTGGATGGCGAAACGTCTACTACAATAAAGATATCCAGATGTTGCACATGTGTCTTAACTTTCATATTGTCGGTATTTTATACCTTTCTTGCACAACTTGTCAGACACTGCAACATCATGGAATCTTGGTTCAGAGGACATCTACAAGACCTTCTTCACGGCTGCTGCAACTAACCCATCTCTTTGGGAAGGACCTACTTCCACTGGGGAATCCCGCCTACCAGTGACTGCCCTCGTCTGCTGCCCGTCCCATTCACTGACGCCTATAAAAAGCGCCAGTCTTCTTGCCTTTGCTCCAGACTCTCCTCCACCACGATGCTGTGAACACTAACTCCAAGGCCGAGGGACTGATTACCTCATCTTTTGTATATAGTTCTACTGTCTTCCTATTATGTCCTAGAATCTGTATTGATAAAGCCACTGGATGGCGAAACGTCTACTACAATAAAGATATCCAGAT